GTATCGTCTGCATAGCAGACGACTCTCACACTGGTCGGGAGGGGTCCGCGCAGAACCGAGTCGTAGCCCAGGTTCCATAACTGGGGTCCCAGTACGGACCCCTGGGGCACGCCTCGGTTGACCCTCCGTCTCTGGATCGAGCCCCCTTGGCCGGGGTACTCGATCCGCCTATCGGCCAGGTAGTTCGACAGCACGACCCGGAGATACTGAGGCACTCCGTGTTCACAGAGTGCCTCCCGGATCGTGTTCCAGCGGATGGTGTTAAACGCATTGGCGATATCCAAAGATATCGCCAGCGCAACACCACCGCCGGAAACCGCCCGGCCCGCGAGGGAACGGACGCGGTCGATCGCATCGAGCGTCGACCGGCCCTCGCGGAAACCGTACTGGCAGTCTGCCAGACCACCCCCAGGCATGCTCCTCGAGAGGCGGGAAGCGAGCACTCGCTCGAAAAGCTTCCCCGCCTCGTGGAGGAGACATATCGGCCTGTAGGCAGACGGAGAGTCTGCGGGCTTTCCCTGCTTCGGGATGAGGACCATCCGGCCCCGCTTCCAGGGCAACGGGACCCGCCCCGACTGCATACAGCTGTTGAACAGCCGTACGAGTCGGGGCCCGTGGACGCGTGAGGCCAAGCTCAGCGCCCGGCCTGGGATGCCGTCAGGCCCCGGAGCCTTATTGGCTCCGATGTGGGCGACGGCATCCGCGAGCTCCTCTCGTGTGACCCCCAGCTCGGCGGACCAGGTGTTCGGGTCCGCCGGCAGCCCAAGCGGTCGCGAGCCCTCCTCCGGATCAACCGGGAAGAGGGTCTCGACGACACGCTCGAGGGCATGGGGGTCAAGACGCTCCGTGACCGGGGGCCCTGCCGGCCGCATACGTCCAAGGACGACGCGGTAAGGGCGTCCCCACGGGTCACGGTCGAGCGTCTCCAGGAGCTCGCCCCAGGCGCGGGACTTGGCCTCCCTGATGGCGCTCTGGAGGTCCACCGTTGCTCGTCGGTAGACCTCATAGAGCTCTCGCTCCCTCGCCAGGTCGCGGTTCCGTCGTCGGCGGGACCTGGTGAAGCGACGCCGCGCGGCGTGACAAACGTCACGCAACGCCGCGATCGCGTCGCTCCACCAGTATGTGGCCCGCCTAGGGGGCTTCCTGACCCGGGGCATGGCTGCATCACATGCAGACGCCATTGCATCCCGGATCCATTCGGCCTCCCTGTCAACGTCCGCGACCGGTCCAGCCGGAACCTCCGGCCAGGACACGGCGAGGGCTGCTGCCATCAGCGCGTCCTCCTCCAGGCGCTTGAGCGCCCAACGCGGTGGTCGGACCGCACCCGAGCAGCGAGCGGGGTGGTTTCGAGGGGTGGCGGAAACATCGAAAACAATGTGGAGGTGGTCACTGAGTGTTACCACCTTCTCCGCCACCCTCCACCCCGACACGAGACGTGCGGCGGCGGGCGTAGCTCACGAGAGGTCAATAATTGACTCTCCCTGCCACCGCACGCACGTGCTCGCAGACCCTCGGTTGAGCAGCCGAAGGTCCGCGCTCGCCGCCCGTTCCTCCACGGCCTCGCCCCTCGCGTCGGTCCTGGGGCCTCCCCAAAGGGTAGACTTCGCATTGAAGTCCCCCAGGACCAATGTCGGACGAGTCGGATTGCGGGAAACAAAGTCCCGGATCCCGTCCAACAGCAGCTCAAATGCCGCGAGGGGCATGCTCGGAGGGGCATACACCCCGACCACCGCCAGGCGCACATAAAGCGCCGCGACGGAGCCCAGCGCGTCCCCCGCCCAATCGGGGCGGTCAGGGACGCGGTACGGCTCCGCGGCGACGGCAAGGCCAACCCCCCACTCAGCCAGGCCATGGACAAACAAGTCCTGTGCCCGGGCCGAGTGGTTGTGGTTGGCCTGAAGGACCCGAGTGGGGGGGAAGACTAGTCCGTCTCCATAGTCTCCCCCCGGCCGGATCCTCCCTCCTCCGCCACCGACGCCAGCGGCGTCGGAG